AGGGCCCTGCTCTTTCGAGCTTACAATCTAGGAGGGAGGGGAAGGTGGCACAGGGGGAGATGGCTGTGGGGGATGGAGTGGTGGGAGGAGTGGGGGAGGTTAGTTGTTAGGTGAGGTCGGGTGTTAGGTGAGGTTGGGGTAGGCTTCCCTGAAGAGGAGGGTTTTCAGGGTGCGCCTGAAGGTAAAGAGGGTAGGTGACAGTCTGATGGATTGGGGTAGGGAGTTCCAGAGCATGGGGGAAGTCCTGGAGAAGTCCTGCAATTGGGCGTGGGAGGAGGAGACCAGGGAGCTAGAGAGCAGTAGGTCCTGTGAGGAGCGGAGGGTACGGGTAGGGTAGTATCTGGGTATCAGGTCAGTTATGTAGTTTGGGGCGGCATTGTGAATGGCCTTGTAGGTCAGGGTTAGCAGCCCTCACCCCTCCAGTCTCCGCCCGTATCACAATCCTACTAAGCGACATATCGGATTGGATGTCACTCCACTTCTTCAAACTAAATCTTTCCAAAACTGAGCTCCTAGTTTTGACGTCACCAACACTATGGGGGAGATTTACTAAAATTGACCATGCAAAATCTGGAGCAGATGTGCATAGAAACCAATCAGCTTCCAGGTTTTATTGTTAAAGCTTAACTGAACTAGCTGAAGTTAAGCTGGCCATACACTATACAATTTTCTGTCTAATTTCTGCCAAATTTCTTTAGATTTACCTTCAACTATGTAGTTCAAAAGCCTGCCATATTGGATACAATTGAAAGTGTTGTTAGGTTTGACCTCCTATTATATGGCTTATGGTAAATCTATACCAAAAATTTCAAGAAAATTGTATAATGTATGGCCAGCCTAAGAAGCTGATTGGCTACCATGCACAGCTGCACCAGGTTCTGAGTGCTCCAATTTTAGTAAATCTCCCCTGCATAACATACATGTTGATAGAAACTGCATCAAAGATGAACAGGACTTTTATTACCACATCCCAATGCTTTTGTAGGGCACAGCTGTGAACAGCTCCTTAAGCCCATGACAAAGTGGCGAGCGTGTTGTTGATGACAAGAGAAATTACTCATGTGTTTCTATGCATCGCTGCCTTGCTGGCTGGATGAGCGAGGTGTCACTTCGGGAAAAACTGCAGATTGTCACTCATCAGTGAGGGAGTAATGCCTTGTTCATCTGTCAAGCAATGGAGTGACAGTCTTTCTCTGGCCTTTATAGTGGTTGGGTCATTGGTGAGTTGTAACCAGTGACATGATTGCTTTAGGCCATGGCCCTTAGGTGAAATGGTTCTTAGCATATAGCTAGAGCTACCCGACATTTCTCCTTGACATTACAGAAGGGCCCAAAATCCATAGGGAAGTCTAGATAAGACCTTTATTTATGGATACATGCACACAATGACTCTTCTCTCAGGTTGTTGTACGTTTTGTTCAAAATAACCGGCCTCTATGGCCATAGTGGTTGGGTCATTGACGAGTTGTAACCAGTGACATAGATAATGGCCCTTTGAAATTTCTTAGCATATAGCTAGAGCTGCCCGACATTTCTCCTTAACATTGCAGAAGGACAAAATGATCAAATTTGACTATCCTCAGGGAAGGCTAGATGAGACCTTTATTTGGGAGAAACATGCACACAGTGTTTGTATGTTTTGTCCAAGCCATTTGATAACAAATACATATCAGCCTCAAAAGTAGAAAGTAGTCTTTCTCTGGTCTTTATAGTGGTTGGGTCATTGGTGAGTTGTAACCAGTGACATGATTGCTATTAGGCCATGGCCCTTGGGTGAAATGGTTCTTAGCATATAGCATGAGCTTCCCAACATTTCTCCTTAACATTGCAGAAGGGCCAAACTTGATCAAATTTGGCTATCCACAGGGAAGGCTAGATAAGACCTTTATTTGGGAGAAACATGAACACAATGACTCTTCTCTCGGGTTATTGTATGCTTTGTCCTAGCCATTTGATAACCAAGTGCATATCAGCCTCCAAAGTAGAAAGTAGCCTGTAAGTGGCATTTTGTTCTGTAGCATATCTGCATTTGTATGAGAATCTTAAAGTATACCTCTCAATGCCATAAAATAGCTTAATAGCTTGCATTAATCATGATCTTATATGACTACTCCAGTGTCCTAAGAGTTCCCAATCCCAGGCTGCTGCAGTGTAACAGCCCAACTTTCCTGGTAATGGAGAGAGCTGGCCCAAACCCTCCTTTGTGTTCCTATTAGAGCAGGTGTCTGCAAACATTTTCAGTTCAAGGGCCACATTATATATTGTTCAAATATTTGTGTGCCGAATAAAATCCCTATCAAATTCCCCTCCTTACATCAGGAACCCGTCAGAGCTCCTTACATCAGGGTCCCTGTCTGATTCCCCACCTACATCAGTGTCCCCATCAGAGTCACCCCCCACCCCTTACATTAGGGTCTCCAGCAAAGTCCCCTACTTACATTAGGGTCCCCATCAGAATCCCCCCTTACATCTGAAGCAGAGACCATAGGCTGCCTCTGCTGACCTTAGTCCTCCGTCAGTGCACATTGGGTACGCCACTGACCCTAGCTGCAGGCTGGGTAAAATCTTGTAAAGGGCCAGATGTGGCCCATGGGCCATAGTTTGGAGACTCCTGTATTAGACCATCACTATGCAAACTAACAGTCATGTGCAAGGTAGGGTTGGGTAGCTGTAAAAGTTACCAATAGCTGTATGGCACAGTAGTTCAGGATCTAAGGCACCTGGGACTGGACAAGTAAACCCAGATGTAGGTGAAGGTCCTTAGTGTACTATAGCTTCCTCAGTACCTCTATTGTACTGACAGGGTTATTTTAAAGCCCACTCGTAGTTTGGCAGGGCCTCATTGAAACCAGAAGGGGACTGGTGATAGATCACACAGCAGCATGAGCAGAATCAGCAAGAACAGCACAAGTTAAAGGATATATATATCATTTTTTTTTTTAAGTGTGTAAGCTGGAGTTGAGCTTTAAAGCTGAACTCTAGGAATTCAGCCACTTTCTATAATGTTTGGATTATTAGGGGTTCATTTATCTGTTTAATTTAATTTTCATGTTTCCTGAGCGCCTGGAGCACAAATATGGATATACTTCTGGCTGTCTGATGCTGGCCTTTCCGGTCTCAGCCCCTGAAGGTGAATAGTTGTATGCAGCCACTCTGTCCCCCTCCTTCTCCCCAGTCACAGAGCGCTTTGTATTATGTGAACCCATTCTCAAAATACAAAGTCTTCTGTGAATGGGCAGTGGAGGGAAGGGTTATGCAGAGTTGCTGCATGTGAGAATGCAGCTTCTCTTCTGTCAGAGGTCTGGGATTATAGTGATAGCTGTACTGAATAGAGAAAAACAAACAGAGGGCGCACGGCCCAAATGTTTGACACGTTTCGAGGACTAGTCTCTTCCTCAGAGCCAGCTAGTCCTCAAAACATGCCAGCCTTTTGCGTGTCCAGAGTTCTCACTACAGATAGACACGCAGTGTGAATTGGACAGAGCTGTTTCTTTATGATGTACCTTTTATTTATTGATCATTTCTGAGTATAATACTTATTATTTACATTTATTAAACATTTTTAAGGTAATGCACTAGGCCGGTGCGCCCTCTGTTTGTTTTTCTCTATTCAGTACTTTGGACTCCCCCGGTCCTTTTGAGGGCAGCAAGAAATGGGTTTTCCACTTCTGCACAGTGATAGCTGTACTCCTGGGGCTCAGTAAAACCTTCAGATGCAAATTAAAGAGACAAGTCCATGAGATTGCATGCACCTGGTCGGACTTAACCCAGCAAATGTGAGAACGTGGCTGAAATGCCATATTTGGCCTTTATGGCTTATGTGCTGTAAACGATGGGATAATTCAAGTTTTCGACAGTCGTACATTACTGTTCCTTGCCTAAACACTATTTTACGCCAGCACTTTCTATAGTAGCTTATGTAACGTGTCGCTTTGTACGATACTGTCAAACGTTGTATGATGTTCCATGTGATTGTTCACTTTCTGCAGTCACTAGGTCACTGTGTGTAGAGGAGAACACGAGGTTTCTTTGCACAGTACAGTGAACGTGGCTTTATCTGAAATACTATTCATGACTTACCCTTGGATTATTCCCAACAGTACACAGTCAGCATATGTCTTATTACGACTTTTTCATTCACAATGACATAATTTAGGTATTTCTCTGGGACCTTCTATATTTCTCTGTTGATAATTGATGTTGACAACCGCATCTTCTGCTTTGTGACATTTGTGCCTGTCCCAGATACCGGAGCGACCAACCTCCTAGGTGTCAGCATTAATGAGGTTACAGTGGGTACAGAGTAGATATGTCAATATATTGGTTCCCATAGAAACGGCGCTCCATGAATCCATATGAGATGTTTAATAACCTGAAGCGCTGAAAACAGCCCGTTCTAACCACCCAAAACAAACAAGACAAATTAAATTCAAGGAAGCTGTTCCCGGGAGTTCACATGCCTTGTGCCTCAAAGTCTTCGTCTGCTTGCTCGCAACATAACACAATGCGCAGGAATTGACTGCGGCTGCAAAAGAGCTAATGTTCTGCAGTTAACCCCAATAGGCTCCATTGCATTAAAATGAAACATTAATCCTGACTGCAATTTGCAATGTCGTTTCAGTTTCATTCCGTGGCATCTGTAGATGTATAGCAGTGTCTGGATACACGCATACATAAAAATGCGTATGGGGCGAGGACACTAATAATTCACTATTAATAGATTTCCCTGGGTTTATTTATAAACTTCATTAATCCTCCTTGTCTTTTTGTAAGTTTGATTTTGCGCTTTATTCATTAGGAGTATACTGTATATAGATAGATTCTACCAAGTGAAGGGCGCATCTAGTGGGCGCATCTAGTTCACAAGTACAAAAATGACTCTGTTCTTAGATTAACTGCTTCCCCTTTACCCTATAGCAGAAATACTGCTGCAGGGTGGCACGAGTGCGCAAAATTTTGCAGTTCCGGGTAGGGGGCACATGCACGCCCTACCCACACCCCCATTTGCAGCCTCAGCTGTCAATCACCGTGTCCTGGTTGGTGATTACTCGCCAGCACCCTGTGATTGCCAAGTATTACTGACGGGGGAGAGACCTGTATTTAAACAATAGAGTTCTCACCCCTGTCAGCTCCTGCGCACTGCTTTGTATGACTCTGCATAGCAGAGCCATACAAAGCAGTGTGCTTACAGTGTAAAGCCCACACACAGCATACTGTGAAACAGCACACAGTTAACCCTTTGATCGCCCTAGATGTTAACCCCTTCCTGCCCAGTGCCATTAGTACAGTGTCAGTGCTTTTTATTAGCACTGATCACTGTATTGGTGTCACAGGGGATGTCAATTACACCAAGTCAGTTCCCCCCAGTGTCAGAATGCCCACCACAGTCCCGCTATAAGTCGCTGATTGCAGCCATTACTAGTGAAAAAAAAATGTCAGTATATATACCGCTATTTGTAAACGCTGTAACTTTTGCATAAACCAATTAATTTATACGTATTGGGATTTTTTTTTTTTGCAAAGACATGTCGCAGAATACGTTTTGCCCTAAATTTATGATGAAATTTGATTTTTAAAATTTTTTTATTGGACATGTTTAATAGCAAAAAAGTAAAAAATATCGTTTTTTTCTCACAATTGTCAGTCTGTGTTTGTTTATAGCACAAAAAATAAAAAGTGCATAGGCGATCAAATACCACCAAAAAAAATCTATTTGTGGGAAAAAAAGGACGTAAATTTCATTTGGGTGTAGCGTTGCATGACCGCGCAATTGTCAGTTAAAGTAACAAAGTGCCGTAATGCAGAAAATGGCCAAATGTCTTGGTATGCTGACGCCTAAAGAGTTCCCTTCACTGGAACTAAGGGGCCAAGCCCAACCCCTGAAAAACAACCCCACACCATAATCCCCCTCCACCAAACTTTACACTTGGCACAATGCAGTCAGGCAATTACCATTCTCCTGGCAACCGCCAAACCCAGACATGTCCATCAGATTGTCAGACAGAGAAGTGTGATTTGTCACCCCAGAGAACACGTCTCCACTGCCCTAGAGTCCAGTGGCAGTGTGCTTTACACCACTGCATCCGACGCTTTGCATTGCACTTGGTGATGTAAGGCTTGGATGCAGCTGCTCAGCCATGGAAACCCATTCTATGAAGCTCTCTACACACTGTTGTTGTGCTAATATGAATGCCACATGAAGTCTGGAGGTCTTAAGCTATTGACTCTGTAGACAGTTGGTGACTGCTGAGCACTGTGCGTTTCATCATGCGCTGACCCCGCTCTGTCATTTTATGTGGCCAACCACTTCATGGCTGAGTTGCTGTTGTTCCCAGTTGCTTCCATTTTGTTATAAAACCACTAACAGTTGACCGTGGAATATTTAGTAACAAGGAAATTTCACGGATGGACTTATTGCTCAGGTGGCAACCTATCACGGGACCACTCTTGAATTCACTGAGCTCCTGTGAGCAGCCCATTCTTTCACAAATGTTTGTAGAAGCAGTCTGCATGCCTAGGTGCTTGATTTTATACACCTGTGGCCATGGAGGTGATTGGAACACCTGAATCCAATGATTTGGAGGGGTGTCCCAATACTTTTGACAATATAGTGTATATTACAGGGAAATCTCTTTCTGCCAATGAGAAAAATATCAATTAAAGTGGTTGTAAACTCTTACCTATACTCAGTGAAGTGACTGACCTCGGGTGGTACAGAGATGAAACAAACCCTCCTACATAAGTTGTACCTATTTATCTGGGCCATATTTCCCCTACATCCATTCAAAGTGCGGAATTTACACAGTATCTCTCAGCTCTGAAAAGCAAGGGGCAGGGAGCTGAAGTTACATCAGTGAGGAGAACTCTGAGAGCTGATTGGAGGGAAAGGACACACACCCCTTCACACAGCACACAGGAACAAAGTTGAGTCTGTCAATCTGCTGGTGCTCCCTCCCCTGTCACCATTTTTCTCTTGGTGTCAGGAAAACTTGTCAGTAATGACTCATGCTGATAACAGAGAAACAAAGCAGTAGTCATCGACGTCCTCACGGAGCGGATGTCGATGACGAAAAGCGTGAGGGCGTCGATGACGAAAAGCTTAGGGCGGTGCCTTTGGATGTGATGTTCAGAACACTTCTGGTCTGTTTGCACTTTGCATTTTTAGCTGGATCTGAGTCGCTTGTATTCATTGCACACACTGTCTATACTGGTGTCAGTCTGGACACCTTGCTTGTAAGTGCATTTCTTCATTAAAGTTTGATGCTTTTTAAAACATACTGCACCATGATTGTTCACTTTTTTCTTTCGAGTGACGGTCTGACCATCTCTCAGTTTGGATACTAAATCACCTTTGGAGTGGATTTTCAGCTTTGCAGCACATCATCTGTTGGAGTTCATCCCTCTACAGTGTTGCTGTCACCATATTATTTATTGCTCCTAGAGTAACAAGTACTACAGTTGCAAGAAAAAGTATGTGAACTCCTTGGGGTTACGTAGAGTTTTGCATGAATTGGGCATAAAATGTGCTCTGAACGTCATCTAAGTCACAACAATAGAAGAACAAAGTCTGCTGAACATAATACTACACAAACATTAGATGTTGCCATGGTTTAATTGCACATAACATGTAAACATTCACAGTGCAGGGAGGAAAAAGTATGTGAACATTTGGACTTAATAACTGGTTGACCTTCCTTTGGCAACAATAACCTCAACCAAACGTTTCCTGTAGTTGCAGATCAGACCTGCACAACGATCTGGAGTAATTTTGGACCACTCCTCTTCACAAAACTGTTTCAGTGTAGCAATATTCTTGGGATGTCTGGTGTGAATCGCTCTCTTAAGGTCATGCCACAGCATTTCAATCGGGTTGAGGTCAGGACTCTGACTGGGCCACTCCAGAAGGCATATTCTGTGCTGTTGCAGCCATTGTTTTGTTGAATTACTTGTATGCTTTGGGTGATTGTCCTGTTGCATCACCCATCATCTGCGGAGCTTCAGTTGGCGGACAGATGGTCGTACGTTTTCTATAAAATGTCTTGATAAACTCTGGAATTCATTTTCCCATCAATGACAACAATCCGTCCAGGCCCTGAGGCAGCAAAGCAGCCCCAAACCATGATGCTCCCTCCACCATGTTTTACAGTGGGGATGAGGTTTTGATGTTGGTGTGCTGTGCCTTTTTTTTCTCCACACATAGTGTTGTGTGTTCTTCCCAAACACCTCAATCTTGGTTTCATCTGTCCACAGTATATTTTGCCAGTAGTGCTGTGGAACATCCAGGTGCTCTTTTGCAAACTTCAAACGTGCTGCAATATTCTTTTTGGACAGCAATGGCTTCCTCCGTGGTGTCCTCCCATGTATTCCATTCTTGTTTAATGTTTTCCTTATTGTAGATGTGTCAACAAAAATGTTAGCATGTGCCAGAGATTTCTGTAGGTCTTTAGCTGACACTCTGGGATTCTTCTTTACCTCATGCAGCATTCTGCGCTGTGCTCTTGCAGTCATTTTTACAGGACGACCACGCCTAGGGAGAGTAGCAACAGTGCTAAACTTTCTCCATTTGTAGACAGTCTGTCTTACCGTGGACACATGAACATCAAGGCTTTTGGAGATACTTTTGTAACCCTTTCCAGCTTCATGCAAGTCAACAATTCTTGATCGTAGGTCTTCTGAGGTCTTCTTGCGAGGCATGGTTCACATCAGACAGTGCTTCTTGAAACCAGTAAACCCAAAACAGGTGTGTGTTTTTTAAGGGCAGGACAGCTGTCAGCAACACATCCAATATCATCACACTGATTGGAGTCAAGGTTGGCTCACTCCTGGCTCCAATTAGCTCTGGGAGAAGTCATTAAGCTAGGGCTTCACATACTTTTTCCTCCCTGCACTGTGAATTTTTACATGTTATGTGCAATTAAACCATGGCAACATCTAATGTTTGTGTAGTATTATGTTCAGCAGACTGTGTTCTTCTATTGTTGTGACTTAGATGACGTTCAGAGCACATTTTATGCCCAATTCATGCAAAACTCCACGTAATCCCAAGGGGTTCACATATTTTTTCTTGCAACTGTATATGCTGGTTTTTCAACAATCAGCATATTACTCTGGTGAGTTCTATTTAACCATTTTTGGTGGTGGATTCACTTGGTGATTAATTATTTTGGACATTATGTGAATGCCAATAAAAATTCATAGATCACTCCATAGACTCTCTGGTTGTCAAAGGTGATGCTCATAGCAGTCCAACTAAGATAGAATATTGCTGTTGTATGCACTTAAAGCTTGTGAGGCTATCAAACGCAACTCCTTATCTACCATTATATAACAGTGTATTTATGTAGGACTGTCAGTTGGCATGGAAACAGCACCCTTCACTTTTCCGTAACAAGAAAATAGGATCACCTCACACTTTACGTGAGATTAAATCGAGAGAAGACACTCCACAAGTCTAGCTCATTTATTCATCCTATACATAGTCTGTCATAAAGCAGTGTGAAAAATATTCTGCCATACCCAGGCAATAAGTCATGTTGTGGAAGTGTTTTCAGGATGTCCTTCAGTTGTAGTAGGAGAGCATTCTATTATTCTATTTTCTGAGAACTGCCAAAACCTATCATAGTGAATTGCAATGGATGTTTCTACGGTGATCATGGGTGTCACACACTAAGGGGGACATTTACCAGCAAATTAGCAACACGATTAGTCGCAAATCAGGCTGAATCTCCTTCAGCAAAGTCTCTGAAACAGGTTTACAGACCTGGTGCATCCAAATGTGACAGTTTGCAAAGTTCAGAGACAGATTTATTATTGAAGGTAAGACTGATTTCCACTCTAAACAGACACAACATTCAGAAGTGGTCAGGGTCAGGTTTAATACAGTCACATATGCAGAACCCAGTGTTGCTAAACCCACAACAGTAAAATCAGTTTGTATATGCAGTATAGTATGCTTGTTATACTCACTGTGGAACCTAAGGGGTTAATCCTCTGCATTGCGTAAAACATCTGTTTGATCCTGTGTTCTCTAATCCTCCCCTTCTTCTACTGTTCCCAATCCATCTGAGAGTACAGAGCTCTAGAAGACACTCTGCACATGTTCAGTTTAGTGTGTACTCCTTTCTCTCTTGTATTGAACTGTATTGTTGCTGTTTTGTCTCCCGTTATATTGTAAAGCACTGAGCAAACTGTTGGCGCTATATAAATACTGTATAAATAATAATAAGAATAATATTGCTAGAGAATTTTTTTTTTCTTCGGGAGGTTGCATGTGAACAGCAAACGGCCAATCAGCATTTTCCAGAGGGTCAGGGGTCATGCAGCCCCATAGGACAGTCACAGGAGAATGAAAACTCCTCCTACATGCGTTAACAATGCTTTAACTTGTTATACTCACTGCGGAACC